CCTTTCTTGAGCATATCGTAAAGAGGCCGGGCTAACGGCGAACAAATAGCTATAAATTTTCTGTAGTAGGAACACATTCCGGGAAAGGACTTCATCCCTTTCTCATTCCGAGGTCGTGGGAATTTCTGAATCTGTGTTATCTTCTCTGGGTCGGTAGCCACACCTTGTCCGCCTATACGATGTCCTAGAAATAGTACTTCGGTTTGAAACAACTCACATTTCGCTGCTTTTAGCTTTAACCCATATTTCCTTAATCGTGTCAACATCCCTTCTAGTTTTTCTAGGTGCTTCTCTACTGCAAGTGTAGCCACGAGGATGTCATCAATATATACAAAAACATCCTTACCTATAATTTCACCTAACACTGTCTCCATCATACGCTCAAAACACGCGGCAGAAGTTGTGAGGCCGAACGGCAGCACATTAAACTCATGTAGCCCGTTCAGCGTTGCGAATGCCGTTTTCTGTTTTGATTGCTCCTCGAGCTTTGCCTGCCAATAACCTGCCGTAAGGTCCAGCTTGCTAAAATACTTCTTGTCTTGCAAGCTCTGCACCAACGTCTCAATGTACGGGAGAGGGTAAGCATCTTGCTTCATCACCTGATTTACCCGCCTAAAGTCCACGCAAAACCGGAGTTCCGTCCTTTTTCAAGATCACAGGACTGGACCACGGACTACTACTCTTCCGGACGATAACCCGGTCTAAGTAGTCCTTCAACATATTCATAACTTGTTCTCTTAAAGCCAGTGGAACAGGCCGCTGTGCCTGCTTGATGGGTTTCGCCTCGCCGGTCTCTATTGCGTGCTCAAAGTGGCCTGTTTGAGTCAACTCAGAGTCTTCCAAGGCGAAGTTGTCTGCGAATTCTTTAATCAATTCTATCGCCTTCTCCCTTAACCCTTCAGGCAACTCTCTGCTGAACGCTTGACACCCTTCAACCAACCTTGCAACTCTTTCCGCACTAAATAGGCCGTCCTGTGCTACTCCGCTGGTTCTCGGCATGGCTTTCGATGAAGTAGCATCAACTACCTTTCCTCTTTTCACTTCTGCCTTCGAAACAGTTCCCAAGACTGTATCCTTGGCTATCAGCAGTCCTTGCTCGGTTTCATTCCGCACCAGAACCGTTGTACGGGCCCCGTCTTGGAGGCTTATTATTCCTTGCACGTCACTTCGTGCCGGTTCCAATAGTCCCCAGTAAAATCTCATTTTCCGTATATCCATCGATAAGTTTTACGCTTTTAGGAGGAATCAGCTCACGTTGAGCGCTTTTCACTGCCGGATTTTCCCGATTTCCCTTTTCCATGACCTTTGTCATTTCAGTCCTCTACTCCTTGCACTGCTCAAGTGCGTTCGTTCCTAACAAAAGGAGCTCGCTGTCTCTTTGCCAGCCATCCACAGACATAGTTACGGGCTTGCTAATGCCACCCCACTTTATCTGGACTTTTACAGTGCCCAAAAGTGCCATTTGGTGGCCCGATGCATCCCTTATTACTGCATCGTCCCTCTTCCAAATTCTTTTGATCATCTCGCGACCTGATACTGCACTTATTCTCTGTAGCGCTTCCGGGGTTATCAGTGGCACCATAGCCCCACTGACAATTAAGGCTGGCATTGGGACACCTTCACAAATCACTTCTGCTGTTAACCTTCTCCCCACTAGTTTATTTTCCGGGTCTGGCTTATTATCTTTTGCCAACTTCTGCACCCGGATGATAATCGAGGATATTCTCTTCCCCTTGCGGCGCTCCGTCTCCTCTCTTTTAGCTTTCGACAAGTGGTGAACTGCTACCGTTGGACATACTCTCGCCATGTGGCCTTTACCTTTACAGACAAAACAGGTCAACTCATCTTTTTGCGACCCCTGTTTTGAATTGCCAACCTTTGTCCGGACTGCATTATTTTCACCTGATTTTCGTTCCTTTCAACTATGACCTTCACCCTTTACAGCCTTTTCGCTGCTACTTTCTAGCGGCCGTGTATCTTTCTTTGGGCTACTTCGCCCTGAACCTGCAGGCTTCCGAGAATATGCTCTGGATGGGGACGCCTTTTTTACACCCTTCCTGGCCCTCTCATATTCCAATGCGACTTCCTTCAGGGCCTTATATAGCTCTCCATTCTTAGCCAGGGACACCGCAGTAATGACCTTGGTGGCGAGTTCTTCATCTACTCGCAAAGCTTGTATTGCGATCCCACACTTCTTCTCATCTGTGAAGTATGGGTCGCTATAAATCGTGCCAGAGTAAGCCACTGCGAACTTCCGGTCAATGTACGCAAAAAGCTTAATCAGCGGCTCCCCTCTTCTCCATTCTACTTTGCTCAAATTATTCTGCAACCCAGTGCGGGTGATCCTCGAGGAATCCACTATTGCTTTCCTCAAAGACTGCACAACTTCCTCAAATGTGCCTTTTTCCCGCACATGGGTTGGTATCCCCAAAAACGAATCCAGCGCGAGTCCAGTTAAATACGAGCGCAAGTAGCGGATT